TATAGACATCTGCGAGAATTCAACAAACAAAATTAAATTACATAAATCAACATTAACTAAGAAAGAAAAAACTTATAAAGGTATAAAAATAAAAATATAAAAAATAATACAAAATAACATTTTGAAGTGTGCATATATTTGGAAACAAACATTTAAAAAGTTTCTTATACAATACGATAGCTAATTCCTTATGCAATAAAATAGCTTTTATAATTTAATTAATATTTCTTATGATGTGATTTTTAATATACTAATTAAAAATGTATTTATTACAATAAAAATAGTTAATCTCTTGTGAAATAGCTTTTACTGACTATGATATATATTTTTAGTTTCATTTATGGTCAATTCTGGGTTTGGACTCATCATTTTGGATTGTAAATTTATTTTAAGATCTAAATCGAATATTTTAGTTAAGTGAGTTAGGAGGCCAGCAAATGCAAGTTCTCGTATTTTTGTTAGCGCCTCCTACCGTTATGGTTGGTTTCAAGTTTGGGATAGTGTTCCAAAATTGTTTATTGTATTATTATTCCTTGAAATAATGAAGGTATTGTTCTTTTTTTTTTTTTTTTTTAAAGTTTGATTTATAATCAATTAAATTAAAAATAATTAAATTTATTCTGCTACAGTAAATAAAAAAAATTATGAAAAAAATTTAATAACAAGAATAGGATTAAGTTGTTTAAACGTAATTACTTTTACCGAATGTAAGTTATTCTTATTGTCGAAAAAACTCAAACTTGATACCTTCTAGAACAACCAGACCACATCTGATTGGCTTTTACCAAACTTTTATTGTTTAATTACTTATTCAAATTAAAATATTGTCAAATAATCAAATTGAATGTTTATATTTTTATCTTTTGTAAAAGGCATAATGATAAAAAAAATTATTTGAATTTTGACATTTTTATCAATTTTAGCCAATTCTTTTAATTTTCAGTCAATATTACCAATTTATTTTTTTCATATCAAATCTATCATTTGTCTGCGCTCAGTCAAATAGGTGTTGATAGTTAAGTATGATATGTGGATCCATAAGATATCAAGTCAGCGCCAAAACACCAGTCCATATGGAATAACAATTATTTAATTCGAAAAACATATATTTTAAGAATATTTAATTCAATTTTCTATAATTAAAATTTTTAAAAAATTAATTATTATCATTATTATTATTTAATTTTAGAAATTAAAATTTTTATTATCATTATTATTATTTAATTTTAGAAATTAAAATTTTTATTTATATATTTATTATATAAATTTAATCAATAAATTAAAATATTAATTTTTATTTATATATTTATTATATAAATTTAATCAATAATAAAATATAAAATATTTTAATTATTTTTAATCTTAGCTCAAATCAAATATGAAGGAACTATTTATGGACTATTAATTTCACAATCTGAAATTTTTAATTAAATCAAAATATACAAAAATTGTTATTTATAATTATAATTTCTAATTAAGAAATACAAATTTTGTAAAAATAAGAGTTGGAAAGTTGATTTACGATTTGACCCAAAAATTGCAAAAATCAAATTGAATCAAACTGAGAATTGGAGCTCTCATGGTAGAAAAAATAAAATTAGATTTTTATAAGTTTTTTTCTTTATTTTGCAAATTGTTAGGTTATTAAATTTTATATTAGAAGAAAAATTTTACGTTTATAAGATTTTTAAAATTTGTAAGTACATAAAATTAATAATTTTTTATTCTAGTGAAGTGGTGATTTAACACCGACAATTATCTCATGGGGCTCACAAATCAGATTTTTTTATTTATGAAAAAAAATAAATTATAGTATTTATTGATAAAATTAAAAGAATTAGCTAAATTGGTAAAGATGTCGAAGTTCATTATTTTTTTTTTGTCGTTAGGCCTTTTCAAAATATACCATATTTAATAAACAAAGTAATTTTTTATTTTAAGGAATTGAATTCTTATATTTTATTATATTTAGTATATTATATAATTTTCTATTGTATTAAAATTCTTGTTATATTTAAAATATAACTTATTTAGTATATAATATAGTTTTTTATTTTATTAATAAAATTTAAATTTAAATAAGAAATTAATGTAACCACTCAAAACTTAAACTACCTTTATTTTTCAACTAATAAAATTAATTGATTTATAATCAATTAAATTAAAAATCATTAAAAGTAATTACTTTTATTTTGTTATAATAAATTTAAAAAATAACAAAAAAAATTAACAACAGAATAGGATTAAGATGACTTTTATTGTTTAAACATAATTACTTTTACCAAACTTTCATCGATTATTACTTGTTCAAATTAGATGTTGCCAATATTCTTATCATATTGAAAGATATAAATTTATTAATTATAAATATCAAATATTATAAATATTCATATAGATAAGACATAAATCTTTAATATCAAAAGCCAATAAAGTTTGCTATTCCTTTAACTAATAAAAATAATTATTATATATTATTTTGAATAATAAAATTAAAAATAAAAGAGATATATTATACCTAAATTGGTTTGGACGAAAAAATAATAATTCATCTGAATCTTCTATACCTAAATTGTGTTTCCAAGAACTTGCAACATAAGACGTACATGTATGAGTTCATGACACTACACATCAATAACATCAATAGAGAAACATGTTGCGCTACCAAACTTCATTGATCGAAGATCCACGTCTACAAATCAAGATTTAAGGTCTCTAACTAAATAAACTCAAATATTATACTTTTATTATTAATAAACTCTCACAAATAATGGACTAAATCCTCATAGAGAAGGGAAAAAATTCCAAATATGCAAACAAACTTTTTTTTTATTATTATTAAATAAATTTATTTTGTTAACTTATAATTTTAGAAAAAACTTACTTTATCCAAGCACCGTCCCAATCCAATAGGTCACCGCATACACCAAACCTAACTCATATAACTTAAATAAAAAAGCCTAATAAAAACATCAATACTCACCATCACTAGTATAACAAAAAATCCAAAATGCTAACATAAAACCGGAACAACAAATGCAATGGGACAATAAAACAAAGTGGCATATTGAACGTCATTTCTTGAGATTAGAAAAGCAGAAGAAAAGGTCAACAATAAAGGTTGTTTGCAGCCAACCTGAAAGAACAAAGCATCAATGTACCCAAGCAACAAAGGAGAAGCAGTATCAACACCCTTTTTTGAGAGTACATCCTCAAAATAATTACATGATCGACTTACACACATGAACTCTACTGAATTTAGTTGTTCTATTATATTGTCAAAATTATTAGAATCCTCCCAAAACCTCCAAGGACGATTAGTTTTTTGAATCATTCAACTAATTGCATTCCTAGAATCTGACTCAATGATTAACGATGTGTTCTTAAATTCTGATGTGAAGAATAGTTCATAACAATGAAAATAGCAAAAAGTTCAGCTTCATTAGAGTTTAAAATTCCAACAGATTGTAAAAAAACACAAACAATCCAACCTAAAGAATTTCCTAGAACACGTCCAATGTCAACAGGCTTGGTCCCTTTTGCAGCACCATCAACATTAAATTTCAGTTTTCCTTCACAAGGATTCTTCCAATTAGAGTGAACAATATCACTCGTATCTTTGTTTATATTCTTTAATCCATTACCACACACAAGTAAAGAAAACATGATTCAGTCACTCAAACAAAATGGTGGGAAAAGAAAACTTGCTTTTATGATTTCAAAACTTCTGAATTTTATATTGTCAACTACCACATCCATTTCTTTTCTAACATTGGAAAACATCAACTTTTTCGTGTTCACAATATGCACGGTAGTGTTATATAAAACGATAGGCTCCAAATGCAATAGTTCTCTTTCGAGACAGAAAGATCTCCCGTAGCCAACTTAGCTTAACAAAATTATTAGGAAGTACTCCCATCACATTCCACCTTTTCGAACAACCTCACACATTAATAAAGGGTGGTCTTTTTTTTTTTTTGTCGAAGATAATAATAAAAATCAAACTAGATCTATTATAGAAAAAACATATATGAATTCATTAAAAGTGGATAAGAGATTAGAAGAAAGAAAAAGTAAAAGTTGAATCGAAGGAAATAATAGAAGGGAAGGGCTACCACTGATCAACAACGATAGCCCAAAATAAAATTAGGATTAGACCACTAGAGAAAATAAAAAGTATCACATTCTTACCGTATTGAAAATATTACATAATTTCTTATTTATCAAATTGAATTCTTATATTCTTTTAATATATACCTTATTTAGTAGTATATAATATAATTTCTTATTTTTCCAGTAAATTTTAAATTTAAATAGTAAATTAATTTCAACCAATAAAATTAAATCTTAAAGGTATTAAATTCTTAACATATTTAGTGTATAATATAATATATTATTTTATCCAATAGAATTCATATTTAAGTAGAAAATTATTATAATCAATTAAAATTAAGTTACCATTATTTTTCAATCAAGAAAATTAAAATACTTAATAATATTTTTGTCAATTATAAACTTAATTGAGAAATTTTCAGTAATCCCAATGTTTCCCTATCCATTCGTATTCATACTTATTATTATTATATATTTTTACTAATCCATAATTTAGTAGAAGCATGTTTGAGTTGTGAATGTTCTTATCTCCATATATATTTGAGTTGTGAATGTTCTTATCTCCATTTATATATTATATAGATATAATATATTATATATATTATAATAGATTATAAAATATAGATAGAATAATTTTTCTATTTTCAAACAAAATTTTTTTAGAATGAAAAAAATTATATTAATTTAAAATACTAAAATTATAAATAGATTATAAATATAGATAGATAATTTTTCTATTTTCAAACAAAAAAATTTTTTTAGAATGAAAAAAATTATATTAATTTAAAATACTAAAACAGATTTAGACGAGGAAAAAAATTTAATCTAATAACGTAAATTAAAGAAAAAAATCTCATATATATCGCATGTAGCCCACCCCAGCTTGCTCTCTCTCTTCTCTTTGTCAAGTCTCAACACATACCGTCTTCCGTATACAAAGGGTTCACAGACACCATCTCCTCCATCACCATCGCCATATATATAAATATTATATACACATATATATCCACTTTCACTTCCTCTGTAAAACCCTAATTATTGTTTTTTTTTTCCTTTCCCTCTCTCTCTCTCTCTCTCTAAAATTTTCGAATTTTTCTCTTTCTCTACAATTCTCGATTATTTCACCATTCGATCCACTTCCTCAAACCCTCACTTTCTCTCTTTAACTCAACTCTCTGTCTAGAATCGGTGACCTATTCGCTCTTGATTGCAAGATCCATTACTGATTGTTTTCTTGTTTCGTCTTTCAATCGAGGTATTTAGGGTTTGCTAAAATTCTTTTAGCGATTCCGGTCAAGGCTGGCGGGTATTTGGGTGAAGTAAATGGCGGATCCGCCGAGTATCCGCCCACTGTTAATCGCTGCTACTTTTTCTGGTTCTGGTCTTTGTTTCGAGGAGGAGGAGTTTAAAGGGTTGCAGAGTGGTCAGGAAAGAGAAGAGTGAAAAAGCATGCTGAGCGTGCTACGGGTGCACCTGCCGTCGGATATTCCCATTGTAGGCTGTGAACTAACGCCGTACGTTCTTTTACGGCGACCTGACAAGACCGTCACAACGGACGATGTTCCAGAGTCGGCTCCTCTTGACGGTCATTTCTTGAGGTACAAGTGGTAAGTACTGCCATTCTCAACATGAGGGTTTTTTACTTTTTGCCTCCTGACCCTGATGTTTCATATTTTTGAAAACAGGGGTTTTCTTGTTTATAATCACTTGTGTAGTTTCAATAGTTTGGGGTTTTAGTAAAGATGAATGCAGTTTTGGAGTTTTAGTAAAGATGTGAACTATATAGATGTGTTGTATTTAAATATAAAAGTTGTAGGCGTATAACATTTATTACAATATGGAGTTATAAAGCAGAGAAGTTTCTGGTGAATTTTCTTGATGGATATTTTTGACTGGGTCTGGGACTGCTTTTCTGTATTCTGTATGCTTGATTTTCATTTTTGAATGTTTATATTATAGTTTGTGAAATGGTAATCCATCTTAATTTTGTTGAGGGTAATACGAAGATTACTGTAATTTAGATAATTTAAAAGTTACAAGAGATTGTGAAATTTCAAATGTCAATTTGAATCCTAATCTTAAATCGGTTTTGCCTTAGTGTGGCCATAACAGTCATATGAAATTAATCTTGCAACATGTTTGAGTGAAAACAGTAGATATAGGGAGTGTTATTATTTTTACAAGTAGAACTTTGAATTATGTCTTCCAAGATGAAGAGATGGTTTCATTTGATGATCAGTGATAGCAAATTCATTTTGATGCAAAATTTTAAGAATATAAGCTGGTAAGCATGCGGAGTTACCTTCACTTACGACAGCTTGTTAACATTAGCAATGGTGTATTAACTATGTAATTAGTTTAGGAAGCTGTTTCACAGCTACAAGCATTTTGAAGAAGATAAATAGACCTTCTTGTAGCACTATTTTATTTTTGAGGCATTGGGTTGTCAAACAAGTTCGTGGTGAAAGTACTGATGCTATAAAAGAACTTGTTCTTTTTATAATTTAAGTTGGCTCTTACTACATCATTTATGACGACTTTGCAATTTAGCATCAATAAGTTAAATGTTAGACTCATAATTATGCTAGCTGTTAACATAAAGTGCCAGTATCCATGCTCTAAAGAAGTGTGTGCTTTTATGAATGCTAAAATAATGATAATTAAAATCACATATTTTTAATTTTTCTTTATGTTGGTTGAACATAAAGTGTCAGTATCCATGCTCTCAGGATATGCCAAACTGAAAATAACAACTGAAGTCTCCACCACGATTTAATTTTGGATGGTTAAGTCATCTTGAAGTCGCTGCTAATTGAAAGCAAGATTTTTTACTTTTTTGGCAATTGTTTATATTGTGGACAGTATTCTAATTGATCTGCTTACACTGAATGAGAAAAACTGTCTTGCATCATTTATCTCAAAACTAAAGTATTAGGTTTAATAGTATTCTTTTGTATGTTGTATAGTGGAGTTAGGCTGTGTACTTGATATTGCTCCTGTTTCAGTTCTAATTTTATGTACGATGCTTATCTGCAATAGCCTAATAGGTAACAAAAATTATTGTTGTCAGTAAGTTGACATTATTTATTAATCGGAAGAAAAATTGTATATTAACTTAGCTCTTTTTTTTTTGGGAGGGTGGGTTGCGGTTTGGGAAAAACAAACTTCATGCTCCGAAGAATTTCATGCCAAACCCTTGAAAGATAACTAAAGTATCATATTCTCATTGACTTGCAAATTTGAGTAGTCATTTAGCTTTTATTCAAAAGCAGGTTCACTGATGATATGTATGCTTATCTGATTTACAAGTGGTTTGTGAAGTCTCAAACAATTATATCCTTCTTAGTTGGGGCATCATGTGCATTTCCTTTATCTATCTGTTTTTTTTATTTATTTTATTTTTTTTTATTTTTTGCGAAGGAATCCTATATCTAGTTTGAGAACTCTATGCTCTTTGAAGGTTGCTTTATTAGGATATTGGGGTGTTCATTGTTGGATATCCATTTGTCTATTGGGGTGTATTAATTGTTAGGATATATGAGGAGAGAGCAAATTGTAATATAATTATGCATGTTCAAGTAGAATGAAATTCATTAATGAGGCATTGAAAGATTAAAGGATCAAATGCTCAAAAATGCAAGTGTTTAAGATGAAGACTTGGTTATAAGATTTAGATTCTTTGGCAGGTGTACTTGTGCCTTTACTTACTTGATCATTATATTAAAACTGTTTCGTCTTATTAAGGAATGCAATATTATCAAGCACCCTTCGTTTTTTTCGGATAGTATTTATGGTTCTATGTTTTTCTTAGCAACTACTTTCATGGGATTGTAGGTACTCTTTTCTCGATCATATGTGGTATTTTCCAATATCTTGGTTTGCAGATGCTGTGAAAAAGCATTGTGCTTGAAATCCTTGTATGTCAATCAGTTTGAATGGTGCCTCGAGTATCTCATATCAGATATATTTGAGATTGTGTTGTAAATAAAAAGCTGAGATATGTCATGTTATTTTCTCTCTTTGCCATTCTGAATTTTTTTTTTTTTAATCTCTTAATTTGCCATTGTCATACATCGATTTTCATATCTTAGGATGCTATGATATTTACCTCAATTTCCAATGTCCTAATGCTCTGACCTTGACGTGGATTTGGGCATGCCCAGAAGCAAGGGCATAGGCATTGGCAGTCCTGTCCATTGGTCGTTCACTTGGTATGGGCCTAAGCCCGTTCCTAGTCTTGGAATTTGGTTACTTGGTAGTTCCATGTCAAAGGTGCCGTGATGGATGTTTGTATTCAGAATTTGTGGGTGGTTATATCCCATTGTCATTTTATGTATGTTTTTGAATACTTGGTACGCTTATTTATTTTCAATGTCATTCGCAATTGATCCTCCTGTGATTATATGTATTTAAGCTAGGGAGTAGGTTGTTTTGCTCAATTATGCTGACATTTTTTATCAATACGTAAAATATTTTTTTTCTAATAATTTTATTTATTAGAATTTTCTTTCTGAGAGAACAACTTTTATGGGAAGTAGTAAATAAACAACTGGGTGTATAAGTATAGATAGAAAGAGTTAATATATCTCAGAAATTGCCCATTCTTGCTTAGGTCATTCACCAAGAAGCTTGAGCCATATTTTGACCATAAGTTGCTCTTTGTGGGCAAATATAAACAGATTCTTGTACTTTCATGGGCTTTGAGAGCAAAGTCTAGCAAATATGTGTAGAAAAGGGAATTAGTATGTAGGATCATTTCTGTGATATTTTATTCTCCCCTTCTATGGTTTTGCTGGGCATGAGGTGGGAGGAGAGTACTGATCTGAAGAAATGACATATGCAGTAATTTGATGATTATTTTATTACCTTTGGTCTTTTTGTTTGGTGATGCATGAGATGCCACTGATGGAACTTGTCATGCAAAATATGCTAACCGAGGAGGATGGTTGCCAGGTTTTTCCATCTAACTTTTTCCTTATCTGATTTGGTGTCTGCATTGCAAGCTGTTGGATCTTTATGCCTTAAAATTGCTGTAAAGGTCTGGTGTGATGTTCCTGGCACATCTGTTAAACATGTCCTATGGTTAATATTGTTAGGCAGAACGATTAGAGAGAATCATGGAAATCAAATATGGAGATGCTTGAAGTTTCATATTTTAAATTCCATAAAGTAGCAAAACATAGAGTAGATCTGGAGAAAACAATGGGAAGAGCATTGAATCAAATCTTGTAATTGGACAATTGATATATGATTTGAGTAGTGATATTATAAATCAGACTTGCAATAAGAATTAGCATTAGATTTTTGCTTGCCGAAAACTTAGGCATTGTCAAGCTTCATTAGGAATGTGATTTAGGATATTGGCCTTGTACGTCTATATTGAAATCTTTTTGCGTGATAATTGTTGTCTTATTTAGATAATCTGCCATATGTATAATAATCACAGGTAGTTTGATGTTAGAGGTGGCAACTAGCCCAGCAGAATATGGGCTGTGCCAAGCAAGGCTAAATATCCAGGCATGGATGGCCAACCTGGGCCAGTATTGTAGCAAATTTTATGTTTCCAAAGTACCCCTCCCAACCGCTATAAAGGGTCAATCGGCAAGCATATTTCTGAAAGCAGTACTTTCTTTACCAAAATATCCCTCTGCACTAGGTGTTTATAGTCTTTGTGAGGGATATTTAAGTAAATTCTCCCTTTATTTACTAAAATACAATGCAATCCATGTTTTGGCATGGCATGATAAACTTCGAGCCTATGGACCGTGCTGGGCTGAGGATTTTAAGAATCTGGCATGTTACAGATAAAGCATTAGGCATGATGAATCTTAATGGTGGAGCCCATTTGACTCCTTTTTTGAAGTTTGGCTTCTTATGTGAAGTTATCCTATGAGGTGATTAGGGAGCATTACAAGTTTGTTTGTCAATTTTTTTATTTTTTTGTCATAAATGTGTATTCCTTTATTTGGCTTCATGTGTCGATGCATGTTTTGATGTGGCTTCACAAAGTATCTGTGTTGTTCACTGAGTAGCTCAGAACTTGGAATTTAGTCCGTATTACAGAACATGGTGTGTAGTACTACATTAATGGTTCATTTTGCAGGTATCGGATACAAAGTGATAGAAAAGTTGCTATTTGTAGCGTACATCCGTCTGAACAAGCAACATTGCAGTGTTTAGGCTGTGTTAAGGCCAAAATACCTGTTGCCAAAAGTTACCATTGCTCTCCCAAGTGCTTCTCTGATGCATGGCAGCATCACCGTGTTCTACATGACCGTGCTGCAAGTTCTGTAAATGAAAATGGAAACGAGGAGGAAGAGTTATTTGGCCGCTTCAATAGCTCTGGGTCTGGAGTTATTAATACCACTTTGTCTGGTTCTGCATCAAGTGCCAGCTTGACAAATGGTTCTGCACCTTTATATCCTGCAGCAGTTACTCAGAGGAGTGGTGGTGAAACTTGGTTTGAAGTTGGACGTTCTAAAACATATACTCCATCAGCTGATGATATTGGCCATGTTCTCAAGTTTGAATGTGTTGTGGTAGATGCAGAAACTAGAGTACCTGTAGGACATCCCAACACTATTCTAACTTCCCGTGTTATTCCTGCTCCCTCTCCGACTCCACGTCGCTTGATCCCAGTTAGTGGAGCTGATTTGATGGGACATTTAGATTCAGATGGCCGTCTTTCATCATCTGGAACCTTTACTGTCCTTTCATACAACATTTTGTCTGATGTTTATGCAACAAGCGAGTCATACAGTTATTGCCCCTCATGGGCTCTTTCATGGCCATATCGCCGGCAGAATTTGCTGCGGGAAATAGTTGGATACCGTGCAGACATTGTTTGTCTTCAGGAGGTAAAACAGGAACTCAGTATTTATGTACTTGATTTAGGAGGAACTACCAGTAATTCTTGAGAATTTTCAGGTTTTTTGTTTTTCCCCCTAGATGTTCTAGCAAAAAAAAAAAAAAAAAAATTTGGTCTTTCAGGAGGTAAAACAGGAACTCAGTATTTATGTAACTTGAATTTAGGAGGAACTACCAGTAAATTCTTGAGAATTTTCCAGGTTTTTGTTTTTTCCCCTAGATGTTCTAAAAAAAAAAAAAAAAAAAAGAGAGAATTCAGCATGAGGAAAAGAAGTTCAGAGTTTTTCTCATTCTTTTTTCCCCTTCACAATTTTTTTTTTTTTGAAGTTCAACAAAGTGAAAATTTTAAAGAACTCTTACAGGGGTGCTTACTATAGGAATGTGTCAACTGAAAAGTTCTTGGTGCCTTTACAAATTTTAGATAAAATGATTTATATATGATGGATCACTTCAAATATAAAGGGGTTAGTACTGTAGTCAAGCTTATTTTTTATCTTCTTTCAGGTTCAAAGTGATCATTATGAGGAGTTTTTTGCCCCGGAGTTGGACAAACATGGTTATCAAGCTCTTTATAAGAGAAAAACCAATGAGGTTTTTTAGACCACCTTTTCTCTTGTTGTCATAGAACCTTGTATGCTGTTTCATGTGGTATTGATTCATATTATAATGCAGGTTTACAATGGAAATACTCATACAATTGATGGTTGTGCAACGTTCTTTCGTAGAGATAGGTTTTCACATGTCAAAAAATATGAGGTTCGGAAGTGTTCTAATTGTGGAGTATATTTTTACAGTGCTTTCATATGTTAAGGGGGCCATACACTTTTGTGCAGGTTGAGTTTAATAAAGCTGCTCAGTCTTTGACTGAAGCTGTTGTTCCAAGTGCTCAGAGGAAAACTGCTTTAAATCGATTGGTCAAGGTAATCTTGGAACCATTTTTAGCTGCAGACAGAAGTTACATACATTGGTGTAATAGTCTCATGTAAATTCTCTTCTGCTCACAGGATAATGTTGCATTAATAGTGGTATTGGAAGCAAAGTTCAGTAATCAAGGAGCCGATAATCTTGGGAAACGCCAACTTCTTTGTGTTGTAAGTATCTTGTTGTAAATATCCTTCTTGACCTATGATGCCTTTCTGTGTGCGTATTGAAATTGCTTAAATATGTGCATACTGGAATGGAATGTGAGGATGTCTTTCTCCATCTCCATTTCATTCCAAATTGAATAGATCGTTGGTTCTCCATTTCCATGAGCTCTCAGGATTGTTACTAGGACTTCAATGCTCCCAAGAACTTCGGCTTGAGAGAAATAACCAATGGCCATATTAAATATGGCTTTCTTTTCTGATCACAAATTCACAATGTGCTGCTATATTTTGATTACATTTTTTTATGATCTGGTAGGAAATTGCACCACCTATTGATGAAATGCTTTTCACGTCATCTTTTATGTGGTAAAAGGTGTGATTTGTCTTGGTAAAAAAGGACTCTGTTTGAGGATTCTCTTGCTATTGTTGTGTGTTTGATGTTATTTAAGGTTTCTTGTGATATTATCTCTGAGTTCTGTCATTCATGTGTTCTTTTTTTATTTTTTATTTTCTCTTAGGGTCCATTTTGATAGATGGTCATTTAAACGAATGTGGAGTTTGATTTGAGTTTTAGGTGTGAAATCATTAAAACATCTAGTGCCAAGCTCCAAATACTCAAATCATTCTGAATTACTAGCTATCCAAATGGACCCTTAAATAACTTCAGTGCAAGACATGATTGTTGCTCTTTTCATTGCATGGTTAACTTAATTTCCTTATATCCACTCTTTTCTTGGTTTAAAATACAGGCAAATACACATGTAAATGTCCACCAAGATTTAAAGGATGTCAAGCTTTGGCAGGTTCTTATCAGTTATCATCACTTAGCTTTGGATGAAAACTGTATCTATTTCTGTGTTTATTAATTTTTTGTTCTCTATTTTTGTGAGATAGGTCCACACTCTTCTGAAAGGATTGGAGAAAATAGCTGCCAGCGCAGACATTCCGATGTTAGTATGTGGAGATTTCAATTCAGTCCCTGGAAGGTCTGCCAGCTGTTTTTTTATGTAATTTTAGCATATTTAGTTGGTGATATTATCTTGTATCAGCACTGGGGTCTTGCTTCATTGAAAATAATATTTAACTTTGTTGCAGTGCTCCACATTCACTTCTTGCCATGGGAAAGGTAGATCCATTGCATCCGGATTTAGTGGTGGACCCTCTTGGCATCTTACGTCCTCACAGCAAGCTTACACATCAGCTGCCACTGGTAAATAATCATTTGATAATACAAGGCCATGAGATTTGTACAATGCGTTCTTGCATTTTTTTTTTTTGGAAAACGTGGTGATTCTGGTTAAATTGATAACAAACAAATGTGATGGATACTGTAAGGGTTTTCTGGGTGGCAGATCGTTTTTGTTTTTTCCCCAATTTTTTCTGGCTTTGAATGGATTCCACTGGTTGTGATGTGCTTCATGTTGCAGGTCAGTGCTTACTCATCTTTTGCTAGACTGGGCATTGGTCTTGGTTTGGAACAGCAGAGGAGGAGGATGGACCCCACAACCAATGAACCCTTATTTACAAACTGCACTAGAGATTTTATTGGCACCCTAGATTATATATTTTACACAGGTGAACTACCTTCAAACATTTATTTGTATATCTGGTTTCATCTGCAATTGAGTTTAATCTCAATTGTCCATGTCATTTTAAGTCAGATTCTGGATTGCCGGTAGTAAGATGCCTGTAGATTTGAGTAATGATTCTACATCTTTTATGCTTTCAGCGGACTCATTGACAGTGGAGTCCTTGTTGGAACTCTTGGATGAGGAAAGCTTAAGGAAAGATACAGCCCTTCCTTCTCCAGAGTGGTCATCTGATCATATAGCACTTTTAGCTGAATTTCGTTGCAAGCCTAGACCAAGACGTTGACAATCCAGGTTAGGCATTACTTTTACTTTTGAAGATTCATATTTATTCATTTTGTAATATGAATGTCAGAACTTTTTGTTACTCGAGAAAGGTTATTATAATATGGAGCATTTTGTACTTGTTATCTGTTGCTACACCAGCAGTCTTTAGTTAACCAAAGTGCTCATGAGGAAGACTCCAAATCTCTCAGAAACTGGATGCATTTTGGACCCCCCCGCCCCCCACCCCACCCCACCCAAAAGAAAAAAGAAGGAACTGCCCTCCTAAATATATCTGAGGTAGGCCCAGAATGCATTTCAGAATTTGTGAAGGCTTGACAAAGATAGCTCTATGAAGTGAAATATTGACCTAGGCTGATGATTTTTTACCAACCTCGAACCCATGGATATCGCTTTAATTTGTGAGTCGTTAATATCTAGCTTTCCTTTAAGAAGAATTATTTTGGCAATCCGCATTGTTACGCGACGTTTATTCCTGAAGGAATAAAAACACTCAAAACTCTTTGCTTGCTTCTCCTAGTCTCTAGCCATCTTTTACAAAAGATTGAAGCTGGAAAATTGTGCTGATGGCTCTTTAATTAGCAACAAGGAAAAGGGAAAAAGTTGCTCAATATATTCCAGAGTTGTTATAGATGGGTTCTAATTTTGATTACTCCATGTGGAAATGCTATTTGTCTTTCATGGCTGTTTGTACTTGTATGAGAAGTTGAATGCACTCCTCTCTCTCTCTCTCATATCATTTATGTGATGACCTCTAGAGAAGATTTGATTACTTCAACAATAATGTTCTTTTTGGGGCAGGTCTGGAGATGCTGAAATCAATGGCTGGAGGAAATGAAAGGAATTAAGTAACTGTAAGAATGGCGGATCGAGTTCCATGTGTTATTTTCCAGGTATCTCATAGTGGGATCCTTGCTATGATCTGCTTTGTATCATGCCACCTTTTCTCATAGAAAAGTTATGTTATGCCTTATTCAATCAATTTTCTTTTTCTTTGCTGATAGAAAATGCCCGCTGGCTTAGTGTATGTCATTGTCCTGTACTTTAAGCTCTCGCTGCATAGCAAGTGGTTAGTGGCATGCGAATGAATGCCTCTTTAGTTTTGGGTTCAATGATCCTTTGTTTCACTTCTTTTCTTATTTTATGGCCAGCTGAAAGGAATAAAATTTTGAAGTTTTTAACCTCGTATTAGAGTATTTTAAATGAGCTTGTGCATATGGAAGTAGGAAGATGGATAGAAACAGCTTTCATTAAGTGGGTTCCTATTTTTGAGTCAAGGTATCCTGATGAAACTGATGAGCTTGTTTCACATGTCGATCCACCTTGAATGCATATAATTGTGCGCCTATTTGCTTTTCTGTAGTAATTTTGTTATTTTGATTACCTTTTCGATAAAATTGGCAGAGAGGTGCAATAACATTCTACTTGTTTTCCTTTAGCAAGTTTATTATTGTGATTACCTTTTATCTTTTCTTTTTTTTTTTTTTTTTTTTTTTGCCATATTCTGCTTTTCTGTATAATTTTGTTTTTAAATTTTGATTACCTTTTTCGATAAAATTGCAGAAGGTGGCACATAACATTCTACTTGTTTTCCTTTAGGCAAGTGTTATTATTGTGATTACCTTTTATCTTTTCTTTTTTTTTTTTTTTATTTTTTTTTTTTTTTTTTTTTTTTTTTTTTTAAATTGGCAAAAAAGAGGTGTGATGATTGTTTACTCGAGTGAAATTGTTAGCTACATGGTTCTCCGATGGAATCGTTAACGGTTTTTGCTGGTGAAACTGAGTTTTGCCATCGTCTTAATTTTGAAACTGATTTCAACTGCTAGGTTGGGGATTTCACATCTTACCATCGTCTTAATTTAATTCTGTTGCCTTGTAATCTGTAGTATTGGATAGAGGAAATGGGCTTTTGCCTAATTGGTGCAAACACGGGAATTGACTTATTCGCCAATGTCCTTTCTGATTCTGGTGATGCAAGTTTGTTGTGGTGAATACTAATTGTTCTGTTTATAGTAGAAAACAGTTAATTGTTGTGGTGCCAACTGTTTTTAGGCTAAATATATAAATACTCCGAATGTTCCAAAAAGATAGTCCATGTTTTTTTGGTTTGTTTTAAAATATAGTTTATTTTCTTATTTTTTTGTTTGCATTATAGTTAATTATTAATTTGTCTATTATATGCCTATTAAATTTTATTTTATTTTCAATAACTTTTATTAATTCTTATTTATTATTTTAATATTATAATTGGTTATGTGTTATTTTTTTGGGTGTCAGAGGAGAAAAACCTACAAAATCAAATGAGGAAATGAAAGGACGAAATTACAAGCGTATCAATCATTAAACATACCGGCATTTTTCATGTCATGGAAACAGAATCAAATAACAAAAATGTTCCAAATAAAATTTAAGCTAGAGATTGGAAGTAGCGAAAAATAGATCTGTGATTATCTAAACTTGAAGAGGGACAAAAATTAAAAACACAGTTCTGCTAGCAATGCGATTGAGGTCATTGAAAGCAACAAATGAAGCTAGAGATTACAGCTTCTACTATTGCTTTAAACACTAAACATAGTCTTGCATGATCTTTGTAATTTCATCTATTTATACATTTAAGACTGGATTAGATTTTAAAATTTCTTCTTTTAGCCAATTTTTATTTATAATAAAAACAGAAAAATTAGGATGAATTTCCGCGTACGACCAAAAGACAGGAGAGAGAAAAAAAATATGTATAATTATAAGTTGAATTCTCGCTATATTTAATATACTATATTATATTGAATTTTTATATTCTTGCCATATTTAATATATAATTTCTTTAAGTATATAATATAATTTCTTACTATGTTACAATTTTTGTATTGTTACCATACTTAATAGATAATTTATTTAGTATATAATATAAAATTTTAATTTAACTAATAGAATTTAGATTTAACTAGAAAATTAATATACTCAATTTAAATTAAATTACCTTTATTTGTTGAACTAATAAAAGTAAAATTGTTTAAAACATTATGTTGTTACTATATTTAATACATATCTTATATAATATATTATATAATTTCTTAATTATAACATTAATATAATCAATTAAAATCAAATTACCATTATATTGATAGAGATATACTATCAACCATGCATATGTAATAGTATAGCTATGAATGATTTTCTATTGACAATTATTTCTTTGTATTTAATTGGAAATTTGCATTAAATAAATGTTGGGGGGGATTTTTCTATTGACAATTATTTCTTTGTATTTAATTGGAAAATTTCATTAAATAAATGTTATTAGCCATAATAACAATAATTGTGATTAGTACATTTTGTATGTATTTAAATTGGACCAAAGTAGAGAATGGGATGTTTATTTAGTAATGACTGTTAAACATATTCTCTAAGACATTAGAAATAATGTTTATTGTTCTTAATCTTGATTTATTTTAATATGAGCAAACATTGATTGTCTTATGCTTTGATTCATTAAAGGATGAGTTTCATTATTGGAATAATATTCTCGGTGAATTGGGCAAAGCTTTTTGTGTTTGTGAAATATTAATTAATGATAGAATCAATGTCTCGGTTTAGAGATTGATGATGCACTTTAAGTAAGCTTATAAGGTTTCATAGTGTAAACCCTGCAGGTGGATTTTGAATCCGACACATGAAATAACGACACATGAAATAAGTTGTGAGTGACAATCTTAAGTTATATTGTGATTTAAATAAATTGTCAGTAAGTTATTTAAAGACCAGCATCTGTAATCTTAAGTGGGACATTATTTTACTTATGTTGTGGATTTTTGTAAATAAATTTCAGGAGTTCAGTCATGAGTTTTTAGAGTGGAATAATTCATGATTAATTATAATAAGAATATGTTGGTCTACATAGGTTATTATTATAATTAGTAGCCTGATTTATTTTATTCCTGAGGTCCCTGTAGTGCCCTAATTATTTGGAAAGTTAAGGGTGTATTAAATAATAGATAAATTATTCAGTTTTAAAATAATTGATAATTATTTTAATTAAATAATTTTAATTTATTTTATATTAAAAAATATCTTCCTATCGAAGAGAGTTTTTTTTTAATATAAAATTGCAAAACCCTAAGAATAAAGGAACGCACGTTATTCTATTCTCTGCCACTCAGAGAGTTCCAAAAGAGAGATAATTAGATATTACTATAGAAGATCGTGGGTGACTCCAAGATCTCTGGAAAGAAGACCGGTGAGCGATTTTGCGCTTCAAGAGGTCAGTTTAGTGATTTGTTCGATAATGTTTTTAGTTTGCCTCATATGGTTTCGAAGAGGGTTGTTTCCGCTTTATACCCTCTCCCATCACTTCCCGTGTTAAAAACATTTTGATCTTTGTCTATAAGAATTAATAGGTGTTGTTTATTTTTAAACAAACTGATAATTTAATGCATTTTTTAACTCCCCCCACTTTAATATATTATATATATATATATATATAATATATATTATAGATTAATAAAATCTTAAAAATTACTCCGTTTGATCTTAATCGTATGAATGCCCCGTTTGATCCAAATACTGGTGTTGCAAAGCTACATTGCTCGACTCAAAATCATTATTACAAAACAAAAACAAAACACCGGAGTTTCATGTCGAAGCTTCAATTAAATAGAAATAAAAATAGAATGCGTAACCATTAAATAAAAGCAAAATAATATACATTAATAAAATGTTTTTATTAATTTACTCGTTCTAAACAATTAAATAAAAGAAAAATAATATATTTAGAAAATATCAAAGTAATGTCTATTTGCGAGTGAATTACAATAATTGTCACTAAACTTTACACTTAATTTCATGAAATCACATAATTTTAATTTGTAATTTTTTTTTACCAAATTTTGATGTTTGTTTGTTTTAATAGGTCACTTGCTAGAATACCGTAATCAGAAATACTAATATAGTAGTAAAAATATAATACTATTTTATTTTAAAAATTCATATTTCTCCTAATATTCTATTTTGAAAAATAAAATAGAAAAAAAATTTCACTTCATGATTTATATTTTCTATCATTTTTTCCTTTTCCTTTTTATATTTCTTTATAATCAAGATTTTATTTACTATTTATATATTTTTAGTATAATATTTCATTTTTAATAAGTTTACCTATGATTTCCACAAGACAAACATAACATTTTAACTAGTACATGAAAATCGATGCCTCGAAAACGCTTGCATTCTGCAGTGAATGTGAAGAATTAAACCATTATCATAGCAATAATGAGCAAAAATAGTACTTTAAAGAAAACCTTCTAGACATTTCAAAAAAAATATTTTCAAAAATACATTATTTTCATAACAAAAATAGCGACGACCTAAATAAAAAAAATAACTTAAACGAAAAGAAATCCTACGTGGAATGGCCAACGGAATTTCCAAAACTGCCCATTTTTCAGTGCTAAAAATTATTATAATATTACAAGTTATATTTACCATAAAAAAAGAAAAATCGGGACGGGTTTCCGTGTACGACAAAATACAAGAGAGAAAAAAAAAAAAAAAAAAAAAAAAAAAAAAAAAGAAACAACAATCTTATCTACCCTAAAAAAAAAAAAAAAAAAGAAAAAACAAATCTTATCTACCTAATAATTGCTATCTCCCAAATACCAAAATAATGTATTAGTCTTGTCCCGTGACAGCTTTGTACACAGTGTTTAATTTTCCAATTAAATTAAAATATTATTTTTTTATTATTAATAGCGTTTGGTAACATAATTTTTATATTAATATTTAAAGATGAAGCAAATTATGAAATGTCGATCCTTTCGATTTTTTATGAAATATTAATTAAATAGCTGTCATTTCATAATTACTAAAATAATTAATTTTTACAACAAATGTTTAGTATATAAAAATACACAATAAGCTAATAAAATCCAATGAACAAATAACGCAAACAATAATATTAGTATTTCTTCACGGAAAAAAGACAATAATAATTATACTATTACTAATTAATTATCGATTTTGTATATAGAGTTATACACCGAGTATAGAAAAATAATATACTACTACAAAAAGCCAAATTAGAAATAGTTGGACCAATAGTACTAATCTTTACCAACCAATCAAGCAAAAGTGCACAGCACTTTCCACGTGGACCAAATCTTCTTATCAACTCAATTGGAATTATATTTATTTTTGGTATAATATTTATATTACATATATTTTTTATTGAATTTAAGTTTATTTTTGGTATATATATTTATATTAGAGATATTTTTGGTTATATTGTACTCTTATGTTTTACCAATTACCATAAGAGTATCCTTCCAAAACAAAAATTACCATATGAGTATTTAATTTAGTATTTAAATCGAAATCTGCTTTTATAGCTATAAAAATTAAGGTGATATTGAATTAAGTTTATTTTTGGTATAATATTTATATTAGAGATATTTTTGATTATATTGTACTAGTATGATTTGCTAGTTACCATAATAGTGTTCTTTAAAACAAATTACCATAAGAGTATTTACTTTAGTATTTGAATCGGTTAAATTTATTTTTAACTATAAAAATTATAAATAAAATGATATTGGTTTGATTTATAAATTAAAATATAAAAGCTACTTAAAAAATTAGACAATATGAAAAAATTAAGAAAATATTATATTATCTTATCTTAATAATTTTTAAAAATAATAACACTATTCTCTTTTTTTTTTTTTGTTTATAAAATTTTTTGACTTTTAATTCTCCTATTCTCAATTGATAGGCACATTTTTTATATTACAAAAATTAAGAAAAAAAATAGTTATCTTAGTTAGAAATGTAAATTTATATATATTTTTTTTCTAATATTCCCTTACTTTAATATAAGATATATTCATTAATCTATTACTGAATTTTTACATCAATCAAAATTAATTAATTATCTAAACTTAACTAATATGCATTGAAAATGGCTAATCTTAGTAAATACTCACGTTTCAATTTTCAAAGTGATTTTTAATAAATATAGCATTGAAAAATTAAGGTAATTAATAAAAATAAGAAAATTATTTTTAACAAGTAACATTAAATATGAGTATAATAAAGATTTAATATATTAACTAATTTATTAAAATTGTAAGTGAGTTATAATTTAGGGCAAATAAAAAAGGAGCGCGAATGGAGTATATAATTAAGATACTATTTTCATGGATAAGTTAAGTTTTTTCTCGTATAATAAAATAAATGAATTTCGCTAATTTAAAAAAAAAAGATACCATTTTAAAATAAAAATATTAATCATTTGCATTCAGACTAATCATTTATAATTTAAGAAAATTAATTATTTTTTTAATCTTTATACAAAAATTTTAAATAATTTATATTTTAAAAAAAAAAAATATTATTTTTAATAGAAACTCTCTGCAAATATGAATAGACATACGAGTCATTTCCACCCATTCCAAGCCGGTTTCGGTTTGTATCACTTATGGGTAGGTAAATTTTTTCCCTTTAATTCGGTGGGCCACCTATGGTATTTCCGCGTTTGGTCCACCTGTAATTTTTTGCAAATACCGAGGGCAAAATATCTCATCCCCGATTCCATACAGCCCCACTAAGGCAATAACAAGTTAGCTAACCATTATAAATACCCAACTCTCCCTTTGCGCTTTCCCATATTATCAAAACTTGTACCTCGGAAAAACCACAACCCAGAAAGAAAAGCAACGGTTAAAAATGAGTCGACAGTGTCTTCTTCTCTGCCTTCTCTTCGTCGTGTCCGGAGCTGCCGCGGCGGCCAGGCTCGGCGGATGGCAGCCGATTAAGAATTTGAATGACCCGCACGTGGTGGAAATCGCGAATTACGCTGTGGGGGAATATAATAAGAGATCGACGGCTAATTTGAAGCTGAATTACGCTGTGGGGGAATATAATAAGAGATCGACGGCTAATTTGAAGCTGGAGAAAGTGGTGAAAGGCGAGACACAGGTCGTCGCCGGAACGAATTATCGGTTGGTTTTGGAGGTGAACGGTGGTGCTAGCAAAGACTATGAGGCGGTGGTTTGGGAGAAAACGTGGGAGAATTTCAAGAATCTGACGTCGTTTAAGCCCGTGAAAGCGTGATTTTGGTTTTTGTTTTTGCGCTGGTGGTGTTATTTTTTTATGTTTAAGTGATGCTTTTGTATTGCTGTTTAAGAAATTAAGAATAAAAATAAGAAAATAAAGCCCAACAAGCGTTATTTCTTGATAATTTTTTTTTATTTTTATTGAAATTAATTGACTTTGGCAATTGACCCGGAATTAACTCCAATCTAATTGACAATTTATTGACATAAATTAAAAATAAAAAAAATAGTCACGTCAATGTGGCATTTTACTTTAACTAAACACTCAAAAAATTCATTTTACTTTACTTCCATTAATGTAAAAATTTAATCGGTCAAATTTAGTTGGATTTCTTTTTCGGTTTGATTCGGTTAATTATTTACTCCAAAGCAATTGTTTGAAGATGATTATTTAATTTCAAAATATAAATTTTTTTAGTATTTTAAAGAGAATAAATTAATATTTTTTATAATTTTCTATTTATATTATTTATAATAAATATCTTCGTAAGTTAGCTTTAGACCTTATTTGATTTAAAGTGATCTAATTCTCGGAAAGTATACTTTTTAAGAAGTACACTTCCAAAGAAAATCTTTGTTTAGAATATATACTTTGAATGTGATTGGTATTTAATCAACCTCTTGAGAAATAAATTGCTTTTAAATTACAAATTACAATAATATTTAAAATATAAATTTGAGTGTATTTATATAATAGAATAAATTGATAAATTCAATATATGGAATTACAAACTTCCTTAGCGATTTATAAGTAACTTACTTCTTTTTATATAAAAAAAGTTGGATGATTTATTATCGAGAAATAAAATTGATAATATAATCTAAACACAAACACCTTATACACTTCACAAAAAATTATAGTGTCTAATTTACTAACCTCCAATCAAACATCACCTTTTTAAAATAATAATTTAGTTATATTGCTCTTAATTTTATTATAATATAGAAGATTATTTGTTTAATCTCATATTAAAATATTAAAAGACTTATATTTATAAAATATTTTATTTGGATTATTTTGTTCGATTAAATTTAACAAAATCAACCGAATGTTCGCTCATGATTATTTTTCCCAAATTTCTCAACCCCGACCTAATTACTTTTCTCAACCTTGTCCGACCCGATATCCGGGGCATGAATTAGGAGACATTCTTGCCCCGACTCCTCCATCTATCCGGGGCATGAATTAGGAGACATTCTTGCCCCGACTCCTCCATCCTGATAATAATATGTTATTATTTTTTCCAAATTTCTGAACCCCGACCTAATTACTTTTCTCAACCTTGTCCGACCCGATATCCGGGGCATGAATTAGGAGACATTCTTTTTTATGAATTAGGAGGCATCAATTAATTATATAATTATTTTTTTATACTTAAACGTATTAAAATATTATAATTTTAACAAAAATTATATAATTAAATTTTTTTTTAAATTTTATATTTGTGATTTATAATATAATTTTTTTAATAACTTGATATATAGTCTGTTTTTGTTCTTATTTCGTTTTTCTCCCGTTCTAAATGGTTGTTTATTTTTTTTTAAGAAGCGACTAATATTAAAGTTTATTATTTTACCTTTATTTAATTTTCTTCTTTGTTAATAAATATAATAATTGTTACATTATCATTAATTAAATCTTGATAAATAAAATTAAATATCAATTGATGGTCTATTAAAAAACTTTATTCAATCCAATTTTTGATTATTAGTTTAATTACTTCCAAGAATAATTTAATATGAATCATTTAATTTTACTGGATATTATTATAAGAGTGTGTTAGGAAAAAGCAAAACAAAAATTATAGTTATATTTTTAATCTGTCTTCAAGTCAAAACATAATAAAAATTATGAGATGCGGAGAGTATTATAATATTTTATAATAATGTATTCTAAAAAAAAGAATAAAAAGCAAAATAATTTTTTTGTGGAAAAGTCTTCCTGTCCCCACCCCTCTTTTTTTTTTTTTTTTTTTCTTTTTTTCGCAATAGAAACCCCTCTTTTTTTTTTTTTTTTTTTTCGCATAGAAAATTTCGCCTTTAACCCTAATCTTACGCAGAATGTGAAATAAAAGAGACAATTCTAGATTTCAACCTATATGTCATTTTTAATAATATTCTTTCCGTGCCAAAATCATAGACATGGTTTAAGAATGCTTAGTTAGTTTAATTATTTCTTACTTATTTTCATTTTATATACACTTAAAAAATTTCTTGAGACGTTCAAAATAAGATGAATTGTTAGTATATCAAAGTTTCTGAATTAATTATCTTAACACCTTTTTTTTCCTACCATTTAGTAAATTCAATTAATATTAATTATTCCCACAGAGTATATTTAAGAATATAAATTTGAAAAAGTGAAAAATCCTAAAAATATAAATGAAACTATTATTTTTTAACATCTACGAAGAAAACTCGGATTATAATTTTTGGGATACAAGAAGTAAGATTTAAACATCCCTACTAAAATTAACACTAAAAAATTTAAGCGTCAAATTTTAACTACTTTTGCTATTGCATGATAGGTAATTGATTATGTACGTCTTTTTCTTTCTCTTAAAATCTAAAAAAAATCTAAAAATTCCATTTTCTTCTTCAATAGCGGTCACCAGTGAGCTCTTACCAATGGTTATCCATTTCTCTCTTTTTTTTTTGTTTTTTTTCAAATAATTCTAAAATTTATATATTTAATACATATCTCAGTTATGGTTGCCAAACATTGAGATTTATTACTGTCCATATCATTAAAATTTTATTATTAGATCTAGTTTGAATTATTATTGTTATCGGTGATTTTGCGTAGGGTATTTAATTATTTAAACAGTTATGCAGAAAGAGATGTATATCTCTTCTCTAATAAAAGGAAGAAATTTGAAGATAATGAAATTGGATATGGAATTGAATAGTAGCTATGAATAACCATCAAATGGAGTAAGCGATCGCCTATGACACATATATTATGTCCGGTCAACTCGATCAGATATTTCAAATTATTATTATATATTTTTTTAATTTTTCGTATAAATGGTTTATTGTTACACTTCCTATACAAATTATAGAAACATATCGATCTATATCTCATATCTGTATACAGTTTTTTCTAAAAAAAAAAATTGATCAGGTATATTCGTCTTCAAGTTATTTTCCTTCCTCTAAGAGATAAAGAAAGAATGAAAAAAAAAAAAAAAATTGAAACATTAAACATTTTGAGGGGAATTGGGTGGAAGATCAAAATATTGTACAGAAGATGGCTATGGATTTTTTCTCGTATTTATATACTGATTCGAAGGGTCCCCACCCTATTTTTCCGATCAGAGGTGCTTTTCCTAATTTGCGTACATAGGATACAGAAACTCTTAAGGAAGCCCTCTCAATCTAAGATTAAACAGGCTTTTTTTCAAATGAGCCCCTGGAAGGTTCCTAGACCTGATGGTTTCCATGCTGGCTTTTTCCAGAATCAGTGGAATATTGTAGGAAATTCTATTTGTATTGATATTCTTGATTTTTTTGCAGGAAAAGACCTGGACAGTAATTTGAATACCACCTTATTGGTGCTCATTATTACTAAGACTCTGGCCAATAGATTGAAATTAATTTTGCCTAAAATTATTAGCTCCACTCAAACCAGCTTTGTTCCTATTGTGGGTCCCTCCGACATGTGGGATCCACACAGTTAAAAAAAAAAAAAAAGAAGAAAAACGTGTTTTTTTGTGAAAAAAAAAAAAAAAAAAGAAGAAAAACGTGTTTTTTTGTGAAAAGTCAATAAAGTTGGCAAAGCAATTCAAAGGTTGGCAAAGAAACTCAACAAAAGCAGCACATTTTTAGGCGGTGAATGCGCAGCTTATTCGCTAACTTCTCCTATAAATAGAGGTAGCGAAGCCTCAAGCAAAACACAGTAGAAAGAAGAAAAAAAATGTAGAGAAAGAGTTATCTAGTTTTAGGAAGGGTTTCCTAAAACTAGGAAGGGAAAAATAGTGAGAAAATTATTATAGAGTATTTTTGGGAAACACTTTGAGTGCTACTATTTTTGTATTGCTCTCTGTGTACCTACTATTTTTAATAGTGAAAAAATTATTCTGAGTTTGTCCCATAGACGTAGCCCTAAATAGTTGAACGTAGCCCTAAATAGTTGAGGGTGAACCATGTAAATTTCTGTGTGTCACAAGTTTACTTTTTTGCTGTGTTAATTTTCTCTTAATTGGTTGAAAGGGCCCAACGAGTGGTATCAAAGTTGAGGCAAGTGGTACCTGATGCCCAACAACTGGTATTAGAGCTGATGCCGAACAAATTGGTATCAGAGTCGAAGGTTTCGGTAGATCCAGCCGGTCAGATAGCGGTATCGGATACGTGGATATATTTTGAAAATAAATGTACCACGAATGAAGAGAAAATTACGACGAATCCATTGGTGCTGTCCACTCGGAAAGACGTCGCAGAATCGACTTAGTGATGAATAGTACATATAGTAAGTCAAAGTTGATGGTGAGCAGTACTATTGTCATTACTGTTGCTGAGTCCGTTTCAAGTAAGCCCAGCACTATTCACGTATAGTACTATTTATGTGTACATTTACTATTTATCCATATAGTTACTATTCGAGTATACTATTACTATTCATGGTCATTATTCACATATACTACTGTTTACGTATACGGTTTATGTTGGTGATTATTTTTTGCGCAAGTCAAAATGGACAAGCAAAATGATCAGTCTAAATGGCGGAAATTACCATATATGGAGAAATGAGAGATCTCCTTATGGTAATCAATCTCCTTATGGTAAATAAAATGCGAAATGTTACCTGTGTTTAGTTGAACTAAACCGGAAGAGAAAGACTGATGAGGAATGAAGCTTTTGAGCATTTTTTGGCGTCCCAATCTGGTTGGCAGATTTGATGATTGAAGGTTTCCTGTTAGCACCTTTCAGAAATAGTCAGTGGGACAGCTCACAAAGGTTCATTTTATGGTAGCTAAAGACCGAAAGCTGTACGTGATGCAATGGCGATTGTCACCAGAACACTTTGAGTGTAGCGGAGAATGACAATACAGTTGAATTGTGGCTCTAAACGCTACGCCACATGGTAAGACAACTCCTAGCAGCCAGAACGTACTACTGGAATTGGGATGAAGTTCACCGAGACAAGTGTCCTGATTGTATGGTCGATAAAGCTAAACAGAGTACTTTCGAGATTACCCCTCCTTCTGGAATGAAGAAATGTATTAATCTGATTCATTATTCAGATTTGTGTGGACCATTGACAATGTCATATGGTGGAAATCGATATTTTGTGATATTTATCGATGACCATTCTAGGAAGACCTTGGTATACAAATTGAAGTCTTCTACCTGGTTGAGAGACAAATAGGTAAGAAGCTGAAGTGTATTAGGACAGATAATGGTGGAGAATACACTGGGCCATTTGATGCTTTTTGCAAAGAGCATGGCATCTGACATCAAACGACACCTCCCAAGATGCCACAACTGAACAGTTTGGCTGAGAGGATGAACAGAACTTTGATGGAGAGAGTCAGATGTTTACTCTCTACTCTATATTGCAAAAGTGTTCTTAAAAGGATTTGGGGTGAGCGTTACTCACAGTAGTTCGGCCGTTCACTCTGTTTTTCCCTCTACAGTATGATACTCCGAGAGAGAATGATTAGGAAAGGATGTTTCCTATGATCATTTGCGAGTGTTTTGGTGCAAACCATTTCGTACATGCTCCCAAAGGATGAACGGTCGAAGCTTGATGTCAAGACTAGACAGTGTGCATTCATTGGCTATGGCCAAAGGCGACCAATTTGGCTATAAGTTTTATGACCCAATCAGCAGACGATTATAAGAAAATCGTGATGCTTATTTTGTTGAAGATCAGACTTTTGTTGAAGATCAGACTATTGAAGATATTGAAGCAGAGTGCCAATAGATCTGATGAAGACTTAACAGACATACAGAGAGTCCCTCCAATAGAATGCGGACGAATTGGAGATGAAGAAAATGTTCCACAAGAATAAGTGTCAGAGTTGGAAAATCCAGAAGTTCCTAATGAAAATGAACTAGATGAAGATTATGGTGTTCATGTTCAACCACCAACACTGGAAGGTTCTCAAACATTAAGAAGATCTAGTAGAGTCTGACAACCATCTATTAGATATCCAGTCAATGAGTATGTACTGACGACTGACGTGTTGAACCTGAAAGCTTTGAAGAAGCTATGGAATTGAAACCACAAGGGGGGGAACGGATTTGAAGCCATACAAGATGAAAATGAAGTTCCTTGCATGAGGGATGGGAAACATTTTGAGCTGGTGAAGTTGCCCAAAGGCCAAAAAGCTTTTTGAAAAAAAACAAAGTGGGTGTTCAGGATCAAGCAGGAAGAACATACTCCGAAACACGATTTCAAAGCTAGACTGGTGTGAAAGGATTTCAATCCAAAGAAGGGTATTGATTTGATCTTTTCACCAGTTTGTTGAAAATGACAATCCCATTCGAACAGTGCTCGGAAATGGCCGCCAGTTTTTGAACTAAAAAATCCGAGGAAAATGGACATAGAAAGAATTTTACCTCCTACATGGAATTTGGACCGCAAGAAAATATACATGGAGGAGTTCCAGGTTTTCGTTACGAAAAAGAGGATTGTGTTTGCAACTGAAGAAGAGCCTGTATGGCTTTGAAGCAGGCACGAGATAGTGGTACAAAGAACGTTGAGTCTTGTTATGGGAGCATGGCTACAGAAATTACTACTTCAGATCACTGTGTTTTTCGTAAAGAAGTTCTCTGATGATGACTACTTGTTTTTTTGCTCTATGTTGTTGATATGTTGATTGTTGTCAAAATTCTAGCTTTGAAGAAACAGCTAAGTAAGTTCTTTTGTATTGAAAGGACTTGGACAACAAGCAAAGCAAATTCTTGGCATGAAGATCGAAAGAGCCAAAAATATTATTGTTGCACAGGAGAAGTACATTGAGGAAAGTTATTTCAAAGGTTTTAGGAATGGAAATCTTAAAGCGTTTAGTTGTCCTCTCATAATCACTTTAAATTGAGTTTCTAAAAACAGTGGGCCCCCTCTACGGATGGAAGAAGGGAAGAAATGGAAGATTTCCATATGCTTAGCAGAAGGAGAAGATATAACGAGCTGTTGTGTCAAAGCAGCAGGAATGGGCAGAATTCCACCATGTCGTTTGGGAGGGGAGGAAATTTTGTTGGGTTCCCTCCGACATGGTGGGGGACCCTGGGTCCCTCCGACATGTGGGACCCACACATTTTGAAAAAGAAAAAAAAAGAAGAAAACATGTTCTTTGAAAAAAAAAGGGGAAAAGTCAATAAAAGTTGGCAAAGCAATTCTAAGGTTGGCAAAAAAAAAAAACTCAATAAAAGCAGCACGTTTTTAGGCGGTGAATGCACAACTCATTTGCTAACCTCTCCTATAAATAGAGATAACGAAGTCTCAAGCAAAACATAGCAGAAAGAAGAAAAAAAAAATATGGAGAGAGAGTTATCTAGTTTTAGGAAGGGTTTCCTAAAACTAAGGAAGGAAAAATAGTGAAGAAATTATTATGGAGTATTTTTGGGAAACACTTTGAGTGCCATTATTTTTGTGTTACTCTCTGTGTACCTACTATTTTTAATAGTGAAAGAATTATTAATTATCGGAGTATGTTCTATTATGGAGTATTTTTGGGAAACACTTTGAGTGCCATTATTTTTGTGTTACTCTCTGTGTACCTACTATTTTTAATAGTGAAAGAATTATTCGGAGTTTGTCCCGTAGACGTAGCCCTAAATAGTTGAGGGTGATCCACGTAAATTTCTCTGTGTCACAAGTTTACTTTTCTGCTGCATTAATTTTCTCTTAATTGGTTGAAAGGGCCCGATGAGTGATATTAGAACCGAGGCAAGTGGTACCTGATGCCCAACAATTGTTATCAGAGCTGATGCCCAACAATTCTCGGTAGACACATTATTGATAATATCGTTATTGCTCAGGAGATTATCCACTCCATGAGAAATAAACGTAGTGGAAAAAGCTAATGGCTATTAAGGTGTACTTAGAGAAGGCCTATGATCAAAATCGGTGGAGTTTTCTTAAGGATACTCTGCTTGATATTGGCCTTCCTGACAATTTTGTTTCTGCCATTATGAGATGTGTTTCTTCTTGTTCTATGCAGGTAGCTTGGAACGGTAGTGTGTCTTCCTCTTTCAAGCCTTCTAGAGGAATCAGACAAGGAGACCCGCCTAGCCTCTATTTATTTGTCTTATGTTTAGAAAGACTGTCGCAAGCCATTGACCTTACAGTCTCACAGGGAAAATGGAAATCCATTCATCTTTCTAGAAATGGCCCTGCTCTAACTCATTTATTTTTTGCAATGATCTCAAACCCATTCATCTTTCTAGAAAAGGTCCTACTCTAACTCATTTATTTTTTGCAATGATCTCATCCTGTTGGCTGAAGCCTCTCTTGATCAGGCTGATGTAATTAAAGGCGTTTTGGAAGAGTTTTGCGAATCGGGTCAAAAAGTGAATGCTAATAAAACCCATGTCTTTTTCTCTAAAAATGTCAGCAGCAATCTCAAAATGCAAATGAGTAGAGCCTTGGGTTTTAAAGCCACTGATAATCTAGGGAAATATTTAGGGGTTTCCCTCTTGCATGGTAGAATTAATTTGGCTTCTTACTCTTATATCCTTGATAATGCTAAAAAACGTTTATCTGAATGGAATGCAGCTCATCTGTCTATGGCAGGTCGGATTACACTTGCCACCTCGGTGATAGCTTCTATGCCTCTTTATGCGATGCAGACAACAAAGCTGGCCAAGAGCATTTGCAATAATATTGAAAAATCTTATAGGAAATTTATTTGGGGATGCTCTGCTGAGAATAGGAAAGTCATGCTCATCCCGTGGAATGAAGTTAGGCAACCTAAAGCAGAAGGAGGGCTTGGTTTTCGTAATTTACAATATCTCAATGATGCTTTCTTGATGAAATTAGGTTGGGGTATTATGAATGATGGAGATGCGCATTGGGCTCAAGTTCCTCCTCTAAATATAAGCTCTTGGCGGACGGTCATCCTAATGAGAACCTCCGTAATAGGGCCTCTATAATTGGTAAAAGCAGTATAGACGTTTGGGATAAAGTTACTGAAGGAGCTATGCATTCAATTCGGAATGGTTGCAGCACTAGATTCTGGAAGGATAGGTGGCTTTTCGACGATTTAGTGTTAAAAGATATAGTTACCTCGGATATTCCGCCTTACATGCAGGATGATTATGTTATGGATTATGTCCATAATGGTACTTGGAACTGGGGTAAATTTAGTTGGCTCCTGCCCATTGCTATTCTGATGGCTATTGCTGTTGTGCTTCCACCTTCGGAAGATCGAGGAACTGACCATGTATACTGGAAATTCACCAGCTCCAGGAAGTTCACCATCAAATCTGCCTATTAGTGGATCTCTGGAATGCATGACGATAATAATAATAGGAATTGGTCTCTTATTTCGAAATGGCCTGGTGCACAACGTATTTGAGCCTTTCTTTGGCTTGCATTCCATAATAGGCTCCTTACAAACAGTGAAAGGCATAGACGACATTTTTGTCCCTCATCTATGTGTACTATCTACATGGGAGTGTCCGAAACTACCATACACATGCTAAGGGATTGTTGTTACGTGAACCAGGTTTGGTTATCCCTTAATGCACCTGACTTGGATGTTTTTTTTGGCTGCAGGTTTGGCGTCTCTTGCTGGAAAATTTGGAATATGGCTTTTTCAGTAGCAACATATTACACTTGACAACTTAGTTAAGGAGATTATCTATTTAGCTATGGAGAATTATAATGCAGCAGAGGTTCTACACGGAGAGATGGTTAAGAACCCCACCAAGAGCTTGAAGTGGATCTCATGGTCTCCACCAACTCATCCTTTCCTCAAGCTGAATATTGACGGCTCCTTGGTGGATCAAATGGCATATGGAGGAGGCCTTATCAAAGATAGCTCGGGAAGATGGATCAACAGCTTCGTTACAGTCATTGGCAGATGCTCGGTACCAAATGCAGAGCTGTGGGCGGTTCTAGAGGGGCTTAGAATTGCTAAAGAGATGGGGATCTCTCACATTAATGTGATAATGAAGTAGTAGTCCAGCTCATCCAAGGCAAAATTACTTCAAGTGAAAGTGTCCAATAGCTAATTTTGGCTATTAGACATGTCTATACATGTCTATAGAGAGGCCAACTATAGTGCTGATTATGTTTGTAAGGTTGCTAGGAATTTCCCTCTAGTCTTCTGTCTAGACCTCCTTTGGATTTGGCCTGGTGGTTCAACTATGATTTGTATGGTATTACTTATCCTAGACTTTATTTGTAATTCTTAGAGTCCAGCTCTCCATTTTTAACAAAAAAAAAAAAAAAAAAAAAAAACTTATCCTAGGACTTTATTTGTAATTTCTTTAGAGTCCAGCCTCCTTCATTTTTAACAAAAAAAAAAAAAAAAAAAAAAAATCAATTATAACATTCCCGTTTATTTATATTGAAATAAATACTATATATTTATAGTAAAAAAAAAAAAAAAAAAAAAAAAATCAATTATAACATTCCCGTTTTATTATATTGAATAAATACTTATATTTAAGTATGGTTACGATATTCTCTCCACAATTCAATCAAATATAAGTACATTATTTTCCTTAAAAGAATTTTATTTGTGATTCAAATCGGATAAATCAATATCCATAAAACTAACTTTTTAGAAATCCACTTTCTTAAAAAAGTGATTTTCCATAGGAATATTAAATTTTGATAACTAAACACATGATGTTACAAGAAGAAAAAATTGTGCACTATAAGAAAAATGGAAAATAGCGACCGAAAACCGAAAATAAATTATATATTTTTTAACTAAGGCTTCACCTATCTATAAATATGTCCATTTCTATAAGGTTATATTTATAAAAATAAAGCATTGAGCAATTGAGCTGAGTCTTGAACTCGTATTTTGGTCTGACTCATCGATTGATATTGTGTTGTATTGTATGCTTAGAAGCATTTTCCCTTGAAAGCTCACAATTAAAAACTTTAATAAAAATAAAAATAGTATTAGAAATAAAAATATGGTAAAATCATAAAATTGTTCAATGATTTTAACCTTTTGCAAGCAACTTAATTTATGCACTTTCATTCAAGATTCGATTTTAAGAACGCGTTAACTCAGTTTCATGATTTGGACTCCTAAAATCATATGAGTTGACTCGTGAATTTGAGAATTATAATACTAATTTTAACTCCATTAACATCCAATAAAAATAAATTAAATTAAAACACAATCAAAATTAGAAAAAAAATATTGAATATATAGAGATAGATATCCAAATTTAATTTTTTTTGGTTTTGATATTTTGTAAACATATAAATAATTTCAGGATGAGCTTATGATTTGATAATCTCTCTCATTTCTATTTCTTTGGCACAAAGCATATATATGATAATATAAAAAAATATTAAATATAATCCATTTTATTAAAGTTGATTCATTTAAGAACTATTACATAGAAAACATTGAAAAAATGTCTTTGATTAACTATTGGATTATTAAACATTAATCCAAAAGCTGTAAATTATTAGAAGAAACAACAATGGATTACGGGAATAAGGTGTAGAAAGTGATCAACTGCATGTCCAAAAGCAATAACAAGCATAGCCTGTCATGGGCATGTTCGGACTACAAACGCCTCCATTTTCTTTATGCTTTTCATAACATTCTTTCTTACAATCGTTCAGTACACATCCAGTTTGATGTAAAACCTCTTGACACTCTTTCTGTGCTCTTGCTTTAGGGACCATAGATGAAGCTGCATGAATTTATATTATGCTTTAGTTAATAAAATTGTGATTTTGACATTCTAATTTATTATTTTAATTACATATAAAATGGGATTTTGTAGAATACCTGATATAATAAGAAAAAGGACGAAGAAATCGTTGAAGGAAAGATTGGCCATCATTAACAGCTTTTTATTTTTCTTCTTCGACTATTGAAATATTTTGTATGGCTTGTCTGAATTTGCGTTGAAGTGATTATATATATATATATTCATATATGATATTGCGATTCATAAATTTCAAATATTATGATACTCCCTCCGTCTCCAATTGATTAACACATTTTATATTATATGTTAAAAATAATATTCTTATTTTTATCGATTACTTTTTATTTTTCAATACCATTGTTTATTTATGACAACTTGGTTGATTGATGTAGAAGTCTATAATAGATTAATGATTATTTCTCATATTAAAGTAAGGGAAAAATACATGCAAATTGACATTTTTAATTAAAATATCCAATTTTCTTAATCTTTGTGAAAATAGGAAGTGTGCGTATAATTGCATTAATGAAAAAAAAATGCCTTTTTGCTTATATGGAAAAATTGTGAAAGCTTATTATTATTTGGAATTTTATACTTTTTGAAGGAAATTAGTAAATGCAAAATAGGTATTAGTAATATTAAAAACACAGCTGCTTTTTATGTCATTATGAAAAGGCAAGTGCACTGAGTTTATGTGATTGCTTCCAAATAAGTAAAATATAAAAGGCAGCTGAGTTTTCAATATATATATAGAGATATAGAGAGAGATGAATACATATTTCCTTAGATATGAAAAAGACCATTTAATTTCCTGAATTGGAATTAAACTTATTTTTAATATTTTAAAAATATTCATTTGATACAAAATAATTTATTTATTTATATAAATATATAATATCTAAAGCACTTTGGATAATGTGGCAAAAACTAGAGAGTTTTTAGAGCTTCTTTTCTTTCTGATATGCAATTTAAAATTTAAAATATTTATAAATAACAAACAAATAATATGATTGAACCAAACCATAATTATATGTATTTTATCGCATTATTGTTAATATTATTATTTAAAACAAATTAATTTTCTTGTTTCTTATTTTATTTTAATTTCTATTCTAGTTTTTAGCAACCAATATATTTTTTTATTCGCATTATTGTTATATTATTTATTTAAAACAAATTAATTTTCTTGTTTCTTATTTATTTTAATTTCTATTCTAGTTTTTAAGACAACCCCAATATAATAATTTCTATTCTTTTCAATATATATATATATATATTAATTATATAATATACTATATATATTATATAAAATATATATATATATATATATATATATAAAATATATAATAATTTCTTATTTTAATTTTTAGCCAACAAAATCTAAGGTAATTTGCCATATTAACAAGTTAGCTGCCCATTATAAATACCCGAGTCTCTCTGCGCTTTTCCACATTATCCAAACCTGACCCTCGGAAAAACCGCAGTCCAAAAAGAAAATCAACGGTTAAAAATGAGCCGACATTGTCTTCTTCTCTGCTTTCTCTTCGTCGTGTCCGGAGCTGCCGTGGCGGCCTTGGTCGGCGGATGGCAGCCGATTAAGAATTTGAATGACCCGCACGTGGTGGAAATCGCTAATTACGCTGTGGGGGAATATAATAAGAGATCGACGGCTAATTTGAAGCTGGGGAAAGTGGTGAAAGGCGAGACACAGGTCGTCGCCGGAACGAATTATCGGTTGGTTTTGGAGGTGAACGGTGGTGCTAGCAAAGACTATGAGGCGGTGGTTTGGGAGAAAACGGCGGTTGGTTTGGGGAGAAAACTTGGGAGAATTTTCAAGAAAATCTGACCGTCGTTTAAGCCCCGTGACAGCTTTGAATGACCCGCACGTGGTGGAAATCGCTAATTACGCTGTGGGGGAATATAATAAGAGATCGACGGCTAATTTGAAGCTGGGGAAAGTGGTGAAAGGCGAGACACAGGTCGTCGCCGGAACGAATTATCGGTTGGTTTTGGAGGTGAACGGTGGTGCTAGCAAAGACTATGAGGCGGTGGTTTGGGAGAAAACTTGGGAGAATTTCAAGAATCTGACGTCGTTTAAGCCCGTGACAGCGTGATTTTGGGTTTTTTTTGCGGTGGTGGTGTTGTTTTTTTTATGTTTAAGTGATGCTTTTGTATTGCTGTTCAAGAAATTAAGAATAAAAATAAGAAAATAAAGCGAGTATTATTGAAACTATCCAACGAGCGTTATTTCTAGATAATTAGTAATTTTTATTTATTAAAATCAATTGACCTGGAATTAACTCAAATCTATTTGACATTTATTGACGTAAATATACAAATTCATTTTACTTTTATTTGATAAATATAAAATTAAATCGGTGAAATTTGGTTAGATTTTTTATTCGGTTTGATTCAGTTATTTCCTCTTCATCTGTTTCAAAATAGTAATCTTATCATTAACGAATTTCAAAATAGTTATTTCTTATCGGAATGACTATTTTTCTCAAATTTTTTGATCGTATCAAGAACTGAAATCAAATTTATTATAAGGCTGTTTAGCTTCCTTCATACAAGAATTAAATTCAATATAAATTTTTTTATTTTAATAATCTATAATGTATGTGGAATATGAAGAAGAATAACATAATTTTTTAAAATTTCCTTAGCAAAGTTTTATATAGCCTATAATATTTTTCATGGGAATTAAAAAAAATTTAAATTAAAAAATATAAAAATATTTGATTAATTGTAATATTTGATATTTGACCTATCTAGAAAAATAAGACGAAGAGATATATTTATAATAAGGCAGAAACTCCAAGAGGCATAATGGTAGAAAAGAAAAGATAAAGAGACATTATTTATTTACTTATTGACAGGACATAAATATGAAGAGATGTAATACTAAAAGATGATGAATTATTTTTTTAACAAAATAAAAATTATGGGTTGGTTCAATCATATTATTTGTTTGTTATTTATAAATATTTATTTAAATTTTAAATTGCATATAAAAGAAAGCTCTAAAAACTCTCTAATTTTTACCGCATCATCCAAAGTGCTTTAGGTATTACTACATAGATAGATTATTTTGTATTAAATGAATTTTCTTTAAAAATAAAAAAAAAAGTTTAATTCCAGCTCAGAAAATTAAATGGTCTTTTCATATATGAGAGGAAGTATATATATATATATTGAAAACTCAGCTGCCTTTTATATGTAATTATTTTGAAGCAATCACATAAACTCGGTTGCCTTATTCAATATATTGATTGATGACATAAAAGGCAGCTGTGTTTTTAATACTATTAATACCTATTTTGCATTAAATAAATTTCCTTCAGAAAGAAAAGAAAAAAAATTAATTCCAAATCATAATAAGCTTTCAAAATTTTGCCATATAAGCAAATAGGCTTTACACCTTTATCTTTTATATATTTTATTTTGTATTAATATTGTTACTTGCAAAATCAGTGCCCATATATTATATCCTATACACACAATTTTTTAAATTACATTATTATATACTTCCTCTGTCCGCAATGGATAGTCACACTCTCCATTTAAGAAAAATTTAAAAAAAAAGTTATTTTAATTAAAAATATCGATTTGTATGTATTTTTTCTATCATATCTTTACTTTAATATGAGATATATTCATTAATCTATTATTGATTTTTTTTTTCATCAACCAAGATTAATTAATTATATAAAATTGGTTTAATATGCATTGAGAATTACTAAATTTAGTAAATACTAATATTTTTAATTTTCAAAGAAATTGTCGATGAACAATGGTATTGAAAAATAAATAGTAATTTCTAAAAATAAAAAACTTATTTTTAACAAGGAACATAAATTCAGACAAGCCATACAAATATTTGTGATTTGCGAATAGCAATGTCATGTGTCTATATATATACATATATAATCACTTCAATGGAAATTCAGACAAGCCATACAAATATTTCAGTAGTCCAAGAACAAAAGCATATCTGCTGAAAAACAAAAAGTTGCTGATGATGGCCAATCTTTCCTTCAACAATTTCTTCATCCTTTTCCTTATTATATCAGGTATTCTACAAAATCTCATTTTATATGTAATTACAATAATAAATTAGAATATCAAAATCACAATTTTATTAACTAAAGTATAATATAAATTTATGCAGTTTCATCTATGGTCCCTCAAGCAAGAGCACAGAAAAAGTGTCAAGAGGTTTTACATGAAATTGGATGTGTACTGGAGGATTGTAAGAAAGAATGTTATGAAAAGCATAACGAAAATGGAGGCGTTTGTATTCCGAACCAAGCCAAGGAAGACTATTCTTGTTATTGCTTTTGGACATGTGGCTGATAACTTTCTACACCTTATTCCCATAATCCATTGTTGTTTCTTCTAATAATTTTGCAACTTTTGGATTAATGTTTGATAATCCAATAGTTAATCAAAAACTTTTTTCAATGTTTTCTATGTAATAATTCTTAAATGAATCAACTTTAATAAAATATATTTGTATTTTATATTATCCTATGTTGTGCCATAGAAATGAGAGAGATTTCAAATCATAAGCTCATCCTGAAATTATTTAACCTAATTCATTTTTACAAGATATCAAAACCCAAAAAATTTAATGTACATATTCAATCTTTTTCTATGTCATTTCTTTGTATCTGTGTATACATAAGAGGAAGTTTAAAATTTGGTTTTATATACTTAGGATTTATTTTAATTGATTATGTTGAAATTTTTACACTTCAAGCGATTAGAATGTAATCTAAACTTATCACCCTCTTCGAATAAAAAAGAAATTAACTTCTGATTCTCTCTCGCTACGCCTCTTTCTCTATCAGGTGGAATTGCTCTTCATCCTCCTTTCTTGTAAGTCTTTTCCTTATATTCTCTTCTTCCTTATTAATTTCCTAAAAGTTGGTCTCCATGGCAACAAACACTCCTTAAATTGAATGCATATTGGCCTAACCCCCACATGAAGCCATTATTTTACTTAAAGTGATTTCTAGATTATGGTGTGACCAAGCTTTTAGTTCTTCAACGTCGGTCTTTAAGTCTTGCTATCACATTTTGAAAAGTAATTTCATCTTGCGAACCTTAGATTATATGATCACAAAGTGTTTTGGGAAAATACCTCTAGTTTTCCCTCACTAATAACATCCAGTGTGGCAATCATGAAAGCCTTTACTTTGGCTTCACTCGCTTTTTAACATATCGGAAGTTTACATGCTTGATCAATATTGAAAAGGGATTTTTTAAACACTTAGAGTGCAACTTTATTTACTAAATGAACCAAAAGTTAAAAAATGGATTTTTCGATTTTGAGTTATAAATTTGAAAGGTAAATTGAGATTATTCCATATTATATATATTACTAACCAGGAATTAAAATTAAATTTATGTTTCATTAATATTAAATTAAATATATATCACCAATCATAATTGGGATTTTTTTTCAATCTTAATTAGGAATTAAAATTAGAAGTTTTTTCTTTTCTTATCATTCCATTATATATATATATATATTAGCTTTTTCTAGAGAACAAATCATCACAAACTTAGGGATTATAATTGAAATATCCCGAATTTTTATTTTCAAAAACTTTAAAATTTTTTATTAAATCAAAAATCTGAATTTTTGATAGTATGGGTTGTTAAGACCGAGCAATTCTAACTTGAACCCAAATTTGAATTGGGCCCAAGCCCAAAACAGAATGTCCGTAAATTTCGATGAAATAAAATGGAACTCTACTATCTAAACTAATTATCCTAAATTAACTTATTGTTATTATTATTGTTTGTACTATTAGAAAGTAAATTGAAGAGATATTTTATGACCCAAATAAAATAATTAAATAAATTAAATCGGACCCGAAAATGAATTAAAGTGTCGAAACCACACGAATAATCGGAAAACCAAGCGAAAAAACTCAAAAACCAAAGAAAATAAGGCCAAACCGCTAAATCGGACCAAACCGGTTCGAATCGAACCGAAGTGGCCCAGCCCACTTTTCCTTCCTTTCCTTTCTTTTTCTTTCTTTCTTTCCTCTTTCCTCTTCTTCCTTCTCCATTGCGTGACAGCTCCCTCATCCCTCTCCTTCTCTTTTCCGGCCACCATTAAGCGAGCAGGAGGTGGCGATCGACTTCCCTGGAGTCGCTGACCCATTTTCCAGCCTTCTCTCACTTCGATCAGACCTCCAATAGCGTGAACGTGGTCTCCTCTCCTTCTTAGCGACGCAGCAGCTCCTCCGGCGAGATCGGGCAATTTCGGCAACGTCAGTGCAAAGGATAGGCGTCGATCGAGTCACCTTCACCTTGTGAGTGTTTTTCCTCCGCTAATTTTCCTCCGGCGGCTCCTCCGGCGAGATCGGGCAATTTCGGCAACGTCAGTGCAAAGGATAGGCGTCGATCGAGTCACCTTCACCTTGTGAGTGTTTTTCCTCCGCTAATTCCTGCTACAAAGCTTGAATGGCGAAACCACTATTAATGCCGACACCAAGCAACTGCCAGGCTCGATCCAGCCAATTGGAGGACCGATCTCACTACATTAACACTAGAAATGAAATCCTTGGTGAATTTTGAGTAGAATGGTGTGATCGTTGCAAATTTCTGGGCAAAGGCTGACTTTTCGGCCACCGTGGACGGTGGTGATGGCGACGGTCCGGCGACCGGCCGGCAAGACTTCAAGAGGCAGAATGATCCGGCCGGCGAGACTTCAAGAGGCAGAATGATCTCCTCTTCGCACGGATCACGAAAATCAAATCCGATTTTTGATAGGTACATTGTAAGGCCTAGTTGCACATTTTCGGTATAAATTTCAAAACTCGAATTAATTAATTAATTGACTATAAGATGAATTGAATTAGTAGAAATTGGAGTTTTATGAATTTAGATACAGATAATTGAAATATATGAACATTGATTATAGAATCGGACTTCAAGGTAGTTAATGGATAATAAAGATTTTCACCGAAAATAGAAATGCTTAAATTTAAATTAATGCGTAAATATCGTTAATTGTGAGTAATTAATAATTATAATACTACGGTGGTATAAGAACCAGTCTAGTTAATTACGCTACTCTCATTTTAATATTGCTAATATTATTAATATCATAATTATTATGGAACATTAATTTACTAACGGCACTTATCGGAAAAATGTGAACACATAAATAAATGAACAAGAGTAACGAAGGTCTATACAGTTTAATAAACTAAATACCGACTAAAATTATTATCATTATTAATATTATTATTATTATTATTAGTAACATTAATATTTTGATTAATAAGTGAATTAAATAACTGATAACCAAAACTAATGAACGAATATGAAATATAATCTTTCGAATTAAAATTCTTACTTAGAATTTTATTGTTTATATGTTAAAGGTTATAAAAATTCTAGAATATGGAAGAAAAGCTGGAGCGTGCATAGTAGAGATTAGTCCTATGAAGGACAATAAAGAACTATGAGTAGTGTAGATAATTCGCCTTAATCCGTCTGCATTCATACATTCACGGGGCTAAATGTTATCATGCATTATTTTGTTGATTGCCAATATTTGTGCTGCACTATCGTTGCATATTAAAAAATTATTTGATTACTTGTGATGTGATATTGCTGCTGCTTGTGTGTTTGTGTGGAATTAGGATGAAGTGGGTCACCATAGGTTTGTGAGACCGTTACCGTTATATGGATCCTGATTATGACTACCGTTACCGTTATATATCGTTACTGTTATATGGATCCTGATCTGATTACTGTTAGCGGGTAAATGCGAGATCGGCGCCCCCATGTGCACCTACCGTTACCGTTACCGTTAATCACATGATGGCTTCTTGTTGTTGGCACCTGATAATTTAGATTTGATTGTAACCCGCAGGGTGGCCTCCTATTGTGAGCACTTGATGATCTAGATTGGATCGCAGCCCGCAGGGTGGCCACCTGTTGTGTGAGCCTGATGATCTAGATTTGATGGAGACGACCGGGTTGCCTCCTGTTGGTATAAAAAAAAAAAGAAGGATTATACTGAAATCACAGGTTGGCTTCTTTATTGGGCGCACCTAATAATCTAGATTTGATCGCAACCCGCAGGGTGGCCTCCTGTTGTGCGCGCCTGATGATCTAGATTTGAAGGAGATGACCGGGTTGCCTCCTGATGATATAAAAAAAAAGAGAAAAAAAAGAGAGAGAGAGACTGGCAAAATAATGAGAGGACCGGTAGTGTGAGGATTATACCGGTCAGCCAGAATGGGGGATTGGCTCCCTAGTGCACATGTGAGTGGATGGGCCATGTGGGAGGACTCCTAGTATGAATTAGAAGTGATTTTTAATATTTCAACAAGGTTTAACAAGTAGTATTATTTTTTTTAAAAAAAAAAATGATTTGGGAGGAAACCTATAGAAAAACTGCAAAGTTTTTCCCCTAAACATAGAACATTGCCAACAAGTGAATTAAAAACACGCCAATTTCAAAACTCCAAAACTCCATTCAACTCCACAGAACAAACACAATAACATCTTCTAGGTCTAACTTACAACATTTGCGTATGCATCAATTTAGATACAATTAGTTAAAACATATTACTTTTGAATTTTCTGCACCAATAAATTAAGTTTCCAAGTCTTATCTTCCAATAAATTACACCAATTAATTTACAATAATATTAATGGACTACTTATACATGCCATAATACTAATTACATAACAACCACTAACAACTACCAAAATATCTCTTCAGGCTCTTGATGCTACATCTTTTGGTCTTCAATCAGCAATATAGACTCAAACCTACGCCGTGATAAAATTCAACCACGCTGAGCTATAAACTCAGTGGTGCCTCATAAAACAAAAACAACAAACCAATTGTTGCGATGGCAACCACACTTAAAATATCCAATTTTCATCAAAAAGATTTACAATCATTAAAATCATTAACGCTTTAATATACATTTACAATTTATAACAAAAATGATCAAATAAAACTATAATATTTTATTCGTTCAATTCATAAATTCATTATGAAATTGTTAGTACACCAATACCATATACTGGTTATTTAGATAAACCATGTAACGTAATATCCTGCTTTGACAATTCATTTAATTAACATATAATCATTTAATTCCAAGCTACCTGAAAAATATGTTTACAAGGGCTCACATACACTTTAGGAGAAGAAGCCCAGATTAGGGTTTTCAGAACAGATTCAGAATGCCTTAGGTCGCCAACAGATTTCAGAAAAACATTATAGAAGCGCGTCCGCCCTAATAGAACAGAAGGCCCACCCTCACGTGCCTAGCATATTGATCATAGCTTCTTATCAAAATGCATCGAAATGCGAGCATGCTCATCAGACAGAATAAATCAAATCACGGCATCAAATTCACACCAAGTCCATATTAGAGCCCAAATCCAATTTTTTTATTCTTATTTTTATCTGACTTTCCATTGCT